TCTATTTTATCCCCAATACTTACACAATTAACTGTCACGATTAACATGTCATTACACAGTTAGTCTAATGTTATTAGATTAAATACACAATTACACAATTAACATGTTATTAGACTACTTACACACACACACACACACACACACACACAAAACACAATTAACATGAGCATGAGTTTACCGTTGATGAGTTAAGTAATTTGTAGGTCTCTTAAGGGTATAGAAATTGCGATACAAACATACTATAAGCCTCAAGACCAATAATAAAGTAGTCAAACTAAGACCAATAATAATTAAAGCGTCCTGCAAACTGTTTCTCTTTCCAAGAAGTCTCACCATTGACGTAGAAAAACTTGCACAGGCTAGAACTCGCTTTCTTTTAACTTTCCAAGAAGTCTCACCATTGACGTTTACTCGGATATCCACTCACATGCATCCCGTTTTTGGGGGTTTCCCACTGCTAATGAAATTCACTCATGACTCAACTTTTCAGAAGAATATATGGAAAAACTTGCATAGGCTAAAACATGCTTTCTTTTAAATATAGAAATAGTATATAAATATCCTTTAAAAATGTCTGAATCAAGATTTTTATCTCTAATTATTAATTAATAAATTTTTAGTCAAATAAATATAATAATAAAAGAGTATTAATCAATAATGAGTAGTAAAAATTCAAATTTATACCATATTTAAGTATAAATTCGACAATTTTCTCTTTGAAAAAAAAAATATTTATTGCCCGTTTGATTTTTATGTTAAATTACGAAACGTAAAGTGTGCGTTCTATTTAAAAGTCATCGTCATCGTATTGATCATCATAATCATAATCAGCTCAATCTTTTAAGTCATGTTCATTTCACCAATTATAATTTTTAATTTTAGTTTTGTTATAGCTAAAAACATTCATAAAAAGTCACATTTAATTTTTTCTGCTACAGTGAAAAATTTTCACATAAAATCACATTTCAACTTAAATTGTGAACTTAAATCTGTAAACTGAACCAGACTTTAATACCACGCAATCGGGCTTTTCTTTCCAGGTCGTCCATCATTGACGTTGACTTGGAGTCTTTAGAACATTCACCGCAAAATGCGCTTGTTAAAGTGTGTTTTTTTTTTAATCATCTGTGATGACAAAAATAATATGTATATTGTTATTCTCCGCCTGACAATGATCACCGAAGTGAACTACATATGATTTGAACAGAAAAATTTAAATTATGTGGTTTAAATTATAGTTTAAATTGACGTTTAGATGTGTAGTTAAATTTTAATTTAAACAGAGAATAAAATTTGAATTTATCTTAGTAGGTGTGAAAAGTAGAGAGATTTAACACATTTTTACTGTTTAAAAATAGTTTAAATGTTTGAACTCAAGAGCAGTTTAAACTGAATTAAACTGAATCAAATCAGTGAAACAAATAGGAACATAGTATATTCTGTTATTTCAATAAAACGTTATATTTGGTCCTCTGATATATCTAGTAAAAAAATAAGAGCTTTTTTATTTGCTCAATCCCAGCTCACACTTGTTCCAATATCTGTATTTTCATTTGTAAAGAAAAAAACTACAATTAGAGAAATCAAGAGCCAATACTCGAGTTAAGAGTCGTCGATTGGTGAAATTAATTTGCTATGAAAACGAAGATGTTAATAAACGTGAAAGTAAATGAAAACAACCAATTGATATATTGCATGTCACACCATCCCAAAGCAGCAATCACTACTTGCTTTCCAAGTACCCATGTTCTTCGGGTTGGAAGCATCATCAAAGTAAGGATTCTGAATTGCAAACTCTCTTTTCAGTTGCAGCAAAGCGGAGCTTTGGTCCGAACGGCATCTAAAGGTGAGCAAGAGAATGTGAAACAACAAAGCAGAATGATATGAGGTAGACTATGAGGAACTGATTTTGGCAAATGATTTTTCTCATCTTTTGGGAAAATGAAGGGATATCTTAGAGTTCTACAAGTGTCAAGAATTATTACTGGAATGAAGGTAGTTGGGTTTTAAATAGATAAATCCTTATGTCTATGACTCTATATTTGAGATGATGAATTTCACGTATACATGCAGGTCAATGGACCCGTGTTGACTGATATCTACATGATTCACGAGTCAACACCAAATGAAGACCCAAGGGCATCTCGTAAAGCTTCTAATAACTGTAATATAAGGGGGAAGGAAAAAGTAGTTCTTGGGATTGCGGAAAGTAATTGCGAGTCAACACCAAATGAAGACCCAAGGGCATCTCGTAAAGCTTCTAATAACTATAATATAAGGGGGAAGGAAAAAGTAGTTCTTGGGATTGCGGAAAGTAATTTGCAAATATATGGTCAAGAACAAAGATCTTTAAAATAAACTTGGAAGAGTCACTTGGGCGCTATGGAGTCAAGTAAAATATTCCAAGATTTTTTTTTTTTTTTCTTTTTTTTTCACCGAGAACAAACCTTGTAAACAACTCGTTTTTGGTTTTATACTCTTTTCCTTCAATTTATTACAAAATCTGGTAACATAACACTAATTTTTTATTCATAACACTTGATGAAACTTGGAACTTAACAATTACCACTACTATACCTCTCATACATATAATAAATAATATTCCACTACAAATGGATAACTACTAGTTGGTTCAAAGAATTTAGAGACTTCACAGCATCAGAAATAATTTTCTCAGAGTCTAACTCTAGAAATCTTTTCAGATTGAGACGCTGTTCGGAATTCCCTTGCCAGTGAGCCCTCCTTCACTAGAAGGATACAGCAAAGTGTATGGCATCTTAGCTGGTCCAACTCTGTTCTTTAACTTCTCATCTTTGTTCATTCTCACAATCTTTTCCTCAATTTCCCTAAGCTTCTTTCCAAACCTCTCAAAGGCTTCAAGTACTTCGCCATCTGTTGTCCATTCTGGAGTGTCTCTCTGGCCAAGATACACCTCATCAGAAGAATGCCTTGACAAAATCTCAACAAGGGCAATGCCGAGGACTGAAAGGAGCTGCCCGGTGATTGTCTTCAGGAAGGCCTTTTCGGGGTCCGTTTTGAGCTCCTCGTACTCGGGAGTGCCTTCTTCAGGAATGAAACGACGGCTCATTGAAGGGCGGTTCGGGGGGTACCCTCCATAAGGGTACTGCCCAAAGTTGATGGCTGCATGAAGGGCAGAGGCAATCCATATGATGGTTGTGCATGTTTCTATCAACTCTTCAAGTGTTTGCAATTTGGACCACCATGGCTCATCTTTCTTGTCCCCATGCCCCACTTCTCGTAGCTCCTTCCACCATGATTGGAGCTCATTGTCATTTTGAACCGTCTCATTGGTTTTGTAGTAGAGTGAGCAATAGTCCTTGACCCATGTTTTGATGGCTGACCATATCTCAAGACCATCAACAGCATATGGATAATCCTCTATGAGTAAACGTAGACCATGTGGAGAGTTTTCATCCTTAACAGCCATTCCTCTGAAAAGATTAAGGAAAAAGAAAAAAATTTAGCTTGGAGTCATTGTTTTCAGTCTATAATCCTTGATGGTTAGAGTAATAATAAAAAAAATAACAATCCGGTAAGGGAGTTTTCATCTTTTAAAAGAAAGAAGAATAATGTTTTAGTTGGTTCTTATATTATGGTTAAATGTTATTGGCTAAAAGGAACTAGAAGTAGATTATATGAAAGTTTTAAGGACACAAGTGAAATGAATCTGTTATGAAATTACCATTTTGCCCTTAGATTTAATTGAAAACATCAAAATGTTTGACAAATAATTTTTTGATTCCTAATCATAAATTCAAAGAATAGAACTAGACGTTTGCCATAGTTTAAGAACAAACCAAATGACTAACTCATTTTTATAAGACCCCAAACCTGCTAGAGTGATATATACGTAAAAGTAGTGAAGTACAAAGATTACCTCTTGATTAGATCAACAGGAATGGCTTGATCAGGAAAAGACCATTCCTTGTAACTTGCAGAAGTCATTTCCATGGAATACTTTCCGGGAAAAACAGTCCACTCAAGTGCTCCTCCAGCATTAATCAGAATCTGTCTAGCAACTGCATTCAGATTCATGGTGTCGCGGAAATGAGTGTGCAGCAGCTTGTGAATTGGGTGAATCACGCTCATCTGCCTATTTGTTGCTATCACAAATGGCTCAATAGCTGCATGAGTATGCAACCTGAAAAAGAAATACGTAAATACAATGAAAATTGTACATTCAAATTCATTTTAGCAAAAGATTGGACAAAACCTTTCTTTCTATGCACTAATTGTTTCTTTCTGGTATTAATAAATGATGTACCAGTGGCTGATAAGCTGATGGTAGCCAGAGTCGTTGACAGCGACGTAAGCTTTCGCTAGTTGCCAAAGGGTGCCTTCAACGCCTTTGTTTGCCGGAGTGTAGACTTTGCTTGTGCAACCGAATACATCTCCCCGAGGATGAGGCAAGCTCAGTTCAATTGCTAATGGCTTGAGAGTTCCATCTTCTTGCAAGGAAAGGATTGTTCTGCTGGCATATATCTTGGTGGAGGTCGAGTTTATGCGCCTCAGGAATGGCATTAGAGTGTCATGGTGGTCTAAGATGAACAACTTGCTGTTCTTTATTGCCTGTTGATCCATGCCAAAATTTAGTTCTAAAACAACTTGCTTCAAACTCTAATGTCAAGGAAATGAAGTCTAGAACATTACCTCGTCTACACTTAGCCCATTTAAGTTATGCTCTATGTGTTCTTTGGTGATTGTACTAGTATGATCTCCATAAACTTTGGGATCTAGCTTGCTTGTTGGAGGAAATTGCTGCAGTTAAAGTCAGAAAAGGAACAACTTGTTAAGAATGAAAAAGTGAACAAAAGCTTTATATTGAAATCAAAGGGTTTGAACCTTTGAGGGATTATTTGGTAAGTGGGTTCAAACCTGGGTGGTTTGAATCTTTTGGATTTGAACCATGTGTTAGGTTCTATAGGGTTTGAACCTTTATTTGGATGTGTGTAAAAAAATATATGGATTCAAATAGGCAAAATCCAAAGGGGAGGTGGGTTCTCATTTTTGAGGTTGAGGTGGGTTCAAATGTCCCATCAGGGTTTCAACCCAAATCTGTTTTTGGGAGTTCCAAATGAAGGTTTTATTGAGCCCGTGGATTCAACCGTAGAACCCCCTTACCAAAGGAGCCCTGAGTTTTATGATCTTTGTATTGTTGCGATCCATTTGAAAATAGGAGCTGAAAATCATAAAATGGAAACTGAATATTACTTGGAGACAACGGATCATGACGGGGTTTATTCCAGCCAGCATTTCTCTCGCAAATTCCTCATCAGTACTCCATGCGGTCTTGTCCTCTACTCGAAATCAGTAAAATTTCCACAATCAAAGAAAGTAGTATATGAAGAAACATATAGAATCTAACAAATATGACAAACAAATTTCCATAATTTGTTGTGACCTATATACATTGCAATGTATATTCTACCTTTAATAACTTGAGGAACTGGGAATTTGAGAAGCCGTTCACCGTCAGTTCGGAAAATCTCCTTGATTATCTCTGCAGGGGTACTGTCTCTAATACTCTTAAGTAAACCTTCTGGCACTTCAACTCCTCCTTCATAGAGTTTAAGGACATCCTCAAAGCTGTCAAACTCATTTGGAGTACTATTAAACACATCTTCTAACTCGGGCTTAAGGAATTGACCAATGGATTTCAGTGCATAAGCAAGAAAGTCTGAAAGCTTTAAGTGACCAAATCGTTCATCTCTTGGAGCATAAATGTTTAAGCTCAGAAGAAGCTGCAGCCGGGTCTCAACCTTGGGATCTGCTTACATTTATAATAGAAGGAAAAAAAAATGTCATTTAGATAAATGGTCATTAACAACAAATACTCTAGTAACAGATATCCCAAAAACAAATCCATAACTTAGTAACACAATAAATGAAGTATGAATCTTCTGTGCTTTCAATGAAAAATATGATTGAGGAAAAACAAAATCCTTGTTGGGATATGCTAATTGTTCAGATCATAGGAGAAAAAGTATTAGTGGAGTACTAATAGTAACTACCTACTAACAGAAATCCAAAAAACACTATCTCTACTTTCACCTAAAGATTCAAAGAAAAAAGTTACCTGTCTTTGTTGGTGGTCGTCCGGTTCTTCCCCTCCGCGGATAAGGGTACTTAGCTGAGCCTCCAAGAACTGGACGAACATACTTTTCACCTTTATCCGGATTTCCTAAGTCATTATAGTAAGCATAATCATAAACTCTATCCCATTCCTTAAGCTCTCCTTTTCCATCTCCTCTCAAGTTCACTAGCTCTTCTTCTCTGTACTTGCGCAACGTTGCAGGTGTTTCACTTGGAAGATAAGTCTGCAAATTCATCAACAGACACTCTTCTACTTTACATGAATCACAAGCCTTTGTATACTAGAAAGAAATGCGGTTCTTAATACCTTGTTTGTGAAGAAAATGCGATCGGTCCTGTACTTATCAGTCGGGTACACCCAGGAGTTGCAGACAAAGTGCAGTCTGCCATGGCCTGGAACATTTTCTAGAGTGAGAGTCTTCATGTAAAACTCACTGTGGTGTTCATTTCTTATTATGAAAGCTCCAGGGACTCCGATCTTCTCGTCCCAATCGAAGTAGACTTCGTATGCAGAGTCCCCTGCTGTTAAGGGACTAATTGTTGTGATCCAATCTTCCAAATACGCTGGCTTCCCAACTCTTCCCCTCATCCCATTTTCTACAAACAGAATATGTCAAGTTTTCAAATTTTTAGTTCAATAACATGTCTGATAGTGCCTGTTAAGTTGAACTAGAGACTATAAAAGTTATGATATCATAAGCAAAGAAACTTGGATTTGAGTTGGTTGTCTTAAAGTTTATGATGAATTCTGAATTTTTATTGAAGAAAGATGGTAATTTGAAATGCTATAGATGAAAATGGAAATAAATAGAATTGCATGTGACTTAGAAGTCATGGTAAAAGAAGTCAATTTTGGTTCATATGGTGCTAAGGTTAGCATTGACCATATACATACATACATACACATAAATGTACATAAACATACATACGTACATGCATACAGACATACATATGAATGTGCATATATTTGCTATTATAAAATCTTTTTTTTTTTTATTTTAAATATAAACAATTTCGTTTATGAATTGTATAATTTTTTTTTTTTTGGCCGAATACTTGTGAATTTTATAATTGCCAAAGTGGATTTTGTATTTAAAGATGGATTCGGTGATGAAGTACTGTAATTTGGCCGACATGTATCTCGGCCTTAAACAAATCAGGGGTCTTCTTTTTTTTTGGAAAAAGAACAATATATATATATATTCTTTTTTTATATTTTAAATATAAACAATTTCGTTTATGAATTGTATAATTTTTTTTTTGGCCGAATACTTATGAATTTTATAATTGCCAAAGTGGATTTTGTATTCAAAGATGGATTCGGTGATGAAGTACTGTAATTTGGCCGACATGTATCTCGGCCTTAAACAAATCAGGGGTCTTCTTTTTTTTTGGAAAAAGAACAATATATATATATATATATATATATTATAGTTAACGCTCATATAATAACAATTAAATCATAAAGTACAGTAGTATACCACTTCACTAAACAAAAAAAAAATAATAATAACAATAAAATAGCTCAATCCAAAAAAAGTACATATATGACAACTGATTGCAAATAATTTGTGGGTTCTTGAGAGAAAAAAAAAAGTGGGTTAGTTTACAGAGTTTATAAGTAGAATTTATGATTGGTTTGAGGTAGAAATAAGCAATGCAGGAAATGAAATGTCAGTGGGGGCTTGAATACTGATTCTTGCTAATTAAAAGGTGTTTATAGTAAAAGATATTGGGTTTAGATAAATTGGTTTTCTCTCTTTCTTTTCTTTTTTCTTCTTCGTTCTTTTTCTTTTTAAATATAAGAGCCTGTTTAGAGGAGGGCTTTGTAAAACTAGCTCTTTTAAAAAGTTTTATTAGTAAAATAATCTTTTAAAAATTTTTATTTATAAAATAATTTCATTTTATAAAGAATGAGTAAATGTCTTTCTTCATAAAAAATAAAAGAATGTCATTTTGCTAATTTCACTTTGTTGAAAAGTCATTCTAGCATATTCCTCCTGTTTAGAGTTAGTTCAATTTACAGATTTAAATTTTTAAATTGAATTAAGATATAATTTTATGGGATAATTTTT